ATGAATCGCATGAAATCCTGTGCGTGTCACCCCAAATGGCTATGCGTGTCAGCACTGACACGCGTGTCATAGGTTCACCATCACTGGTGTAGAACAACCCACAGCCCTTCCTCAGACAACTGTCTTGCATCCAACCCATGGATGTGGCTTATGAGGCAGGAGACACGTTCAACAAACCTCAACATGCTCTCTTTATAAAAATGTGCACTTTGGTCCACACAAGCCTGTCAGAATTCATTTTCTCCTGTCAGATGCTTTATGAAGTAGATTTGGTGCTCTTCTGCATGACCTGTTAACTCTGGGCAGGCAGGATTTTTGTGATCTCAAAAAGAGGACTAGAAAGATAGAGGCATTGATATGTTTTGGCATTTCCCAGTATGATATATTTGTGGCAATCTAGCTTGGTTTAGCAATATCATAGGATGCTGCTTTTAAGCTTATAATACTTGGCGGGGTCCACACATTTGCGAAGCCATAATGAAGTTATCATATACCAGCCTGGTACTCATCTGCCTAACTCAATATTGTTTACTCTAATTGGCAGTTGCTTTTGATAGGCTCATGCAGAGGACTTTCCAATCATGAGTATTATTGCAGTATTGCTTCCAGCAGTGTTAAACAAATTACTTCTCATAATCATCCTTTGATTTTGCTGAGTGGGGAAATTGTCCAAGATTGTCAAAGGTTGAACCCAAAATACTCAAGGAAAGTTGATATAGCAAGTAAAATAAATTCAGTTCCAGTGAATGATGATCAGTCCTCTGTGATGTTTTTGTTGTCATACACAAGGGGTCCATGAAGGTTTAAAGAAATGTTATGGTTTAAATCTTGAGTTGAATCTTGAGGGTCCATGGCCATAGTCCTTGGTGTTTAAATGGCATCCGTGGTGAAGAAAAGGTTGGGAAACACTAGTTTAATGCTTTGAAAACAGCAGATGCTCAATTTGCTAATATGCACCTATACTTGCTTAAGCACCATGAGTGTGTAAATTAGGCCGCATAGGTTATATTCTATCCCCCAAAGCAGGAAAGCATACATATTTGATGAGACTTTATTTGAATTTATATCTGCACAAGTACAATGTGACATCCTGAAATCACACATGAGTTTTCTTGGCTATATCAATTGGGAGAGATAGCTGTCTGTTTCACATACATATTTCTGTATTTTCTACCCTTCTGTTAAGCATTGTTCCTGAGCAGGTGAGCTGTTGTATGATTTGTATGATTTAGGCCTTGGACTGACAGCCATCCAATATGATTACAGTAGTGCTTTTTTCAACCTAGCCTGAGCACATGCAATATAATGTAATAGTTAAGGAACTGGAGCGGTACTAGAGACACCCAGGTTCTAATCCATCTTCAAATACAAAAGCTCCCTGAATAGGTTTGGGCCAGTGACCATCTCAGTCTACCTCACAGGGTTTTTATTGTGGAGAGGAGGAGGAGGAGGAGGAGGAAGAGGAAGAGGAAGAGGAAGAGGAGGAAGAGGAGGAGGAGGAGGAGAGGAGGAGGAGGAGGAGGAGGAGGAGGAGGAGGAGGAAGAGGAAGAGGAAGAGGAAGAGGAGGAAAAGGAAGAAGAAGAAGGAAGAAAGAAGAAGGAAGGAGTGTTGTTTATGCTTCTTTAAGCCAGGATATAATAAATAACTATACCTTTCGCACTTTTCTGGCAGCTTCTTCGGACATATGGGGAATGACAACTGATGTCAATGTGTGTCTGAATGAAGATTTAATTCAGCAAGTAAACAAAAGTTGTAAACCTAAACTTATTTCCAGAATACTGAGTCTTCAAGTAAAGAATAATAAATACAGTAGTTGGGATGTCCTAAAGAGCTGGTGAAGCATAAGTAAGTTCAGATAGTGGCAATGTTATGTTACTAGCCAGAATGAGGGGATAGACAGTGTTGTAATTAAAATAATTGTGTAAAGGTTAGCTGCTCTGCAAATTAATTAGCTACTCTATGAGGTCAGGTCCTATGATAACTGTGACATGATTTTGCTGACCAAAGAAAGTGCCTTGTAACCAACATTTCATTTCCCAAGGGAGCTATGGTACTTCTACCTGATATTTCTCACATTTATTAAACACTACTCTTGAAGTAGTATTTAGCTGTGATGGCTAATCATTGTTGGCTATTATTCAAACAAACTATCAGAGAAGTCATCAGAATGATAACATCAACAAACTGATCACTGTGGACAGCTTACATCAAGATTATTTTTAAAATAAGGATGAAACTGCTTCATTAGATCAGGAGCAGTTTGTTTCTTTTCATCTATGGATAACAAACGAAATGACATTTAGGCACTGTGAATTATCTCCATATCAGAATGTGATAATATATAATACTTGAATGTTTATTTCTTTAGGTGACAATGATGTAAAAATGGACAAAGAATGATCACTTTAGATGGACGGTATAGAACAATGGCAGTCAGGCATGAAAGATACAATTGATGAGGGGGAGGGGGAGGGAGAGAGAGGAGAGAGAGAGGAGTTACACTACTCAACCCTTAATACTTATTATTCTGAGCAGGAACACTGGTATCTCCAGCAAGGATGCAGCAATAACAGATGGAAGAAGCTGCAGCAGAATTCAGAGGAGGAGAGAATTGAGGAACTAAAGGTCCTCTTTTCTTTTCCCCTTTGGATGACTTGCTATTCTGTTAGGGAACAGGAGAATCCTATTATTAGCCATTCTTAGGCTGACTCCTGCCTTTCTAGAAGAAACTTTGAGGAAAGAGAAAAAGGAAGAAATATCCGTCATAGTCTCCATTCAGTCAGTCTCTAATTTGGTCTGATGCAAAATTAATTAATTAATTAATTAGAATTAAATTGCAAGTACTTGCCTTCTATGATCTGAAATACATGTAAAAGCAGTGTTCTGATGGCTATTCTATTTGAGAAAAGTTCAAGTGATTGCCCCAGATGCTGGGGGAAAAAGTAGGTGCAGAGTTTCATCTCTCCTCAAATTATCTCGATCCTACCCAGAATAATAAATGTTTTTCTTTCTATAGCCTAATCTACTAAAGTGTGTATTGGTTGTAGAGAATCTAAGAATCCTAGCCATAAGTTCCTATAGAAAGCCTTTGGGTTTCCAGAAGAATCTGAATTACAACCCCAAACAGGTTCAGGCTGTTTTATAGGCCTTTATATTTTCCTCAAGGTTTTTTTTGGATTCTACTGTTTGTCTGTTCATCTTGTCCCTTTGTAAGACAAGTAGTAGAAACTATAAGCTCTGACCTCAAGATGACATGTGGCTCCTGAATTATTTTTGGGTTCCCCAAGAATTTCTCTGACACTACCTAATAAAGATGTAGTTAAATTCACAGGAAACAAAACATAAACCTAGAACAGGCCTGATGTAAAAAATGCCATCCCTGCCAACACTACCACTTAGAAACTCCCGGCCCAAAGGCCGGATGGATCATGTGCTGGCCACGCCCACACATGGTTTAGCGAAGGGGAGGAAAGTCCCGATACATCATGTGATGCCGCTATGATGACGTGAGTTTGACACTCATGACCTAGAAAATTCTTGGAGGTCGCCCCCCATTTTATAGAACCTCTGGTATCCTCAACACTTTTAAGAAACAAATTAAATTCATACTATTTTAGCAGGCTTCTGGCTCTTAGGCTTTTTGGGGTAGGGGGGGATGACCAACATAATTAATTGAGTGTTAATTGCTTTAATTGGCAAAGTATTGTATTTTGACTAACACCCACTGCCCAGAGTCTGCATGGATGGGAGTGGATTATAATGATTGCTAAATAAATAATTAACATGCTTGCTTTGCTTAGTCTAATATAGAAACTTTAAGTGACCTAATTGACCCCCTAAAAACCATATTTGCCTTCTTTTGGCAAAGATGAATAACCCAGAGTCCCCGTAATGCTTCTGTCAACTGCAGAGCAAATCCAAAATGAGTAAGGAGAAAATATTCCTCCCTTTAATAGCATTTTGTGACGCTCTGAGGGCATAATAATTTTATTTTAAGTGCAACATGGTCCAGAGTTTAGATTTATATACCTTGTTCCCTCTGTTGGAATTACAGACTGGCTGAACCAGGACGATGAGAAATAGCAGAAGCAGAACAGGAGTCCATATCTGACACTTTTTTTTTTTTTAATTCATGCAGCTGGCCACCTAACTGAAGAGACTGGCAGTAGCAGGGATCTAATTCGCAGGCAACCAATTTCATGGAGGATTTAGAAAATAATGAAGAACCCCCCAGAACTCAGTTGGAGATCTGGCATCTCATTTAGACATTGTAAAGCAAGCCAGACACACTGAAACCTTCTCATAATCACATTTGATCTCAGCAACTGGTTCCATCCAGCATCTTGCACAGGGCACAGTCCACCACCACCACAACAACACATTGCAACTTGTGGACTTAGCAGTGCCCTGGATGGCAGATCCAGTGTCCTACTTCCAGCTTGCAGCCTCTCACATATGGACTCAGTTCACCAGAAACTTTGGATTGCTTTCTTGCTCCTCCACTGCCTGGCATTGACTGGGTCAGTTGGCATCCTGGATCCAGCAATACAGAAGCAACTTGACAGCCATCAACTGAGCCAGTTTGTTCACCAGGTGAGATTTTAAACAGGGGGCAGAGAATGTCAATGGGTTCACAAGATAGTTGACACTTGTCCTCATTACTAATTGTAAAGAAGTGCGGACAAAGTTGTTTATTATAGTTCTAGAAATCAAGGGAGAATTTGGGATAGGGGAGGTTTGGCTTATCAATATTTGTACAGTAATTAGTAATGGTAATTCTGGAGTTAAAATGCATTTTGAAAATTTCTCCTTATTTGTTTAATAATCCACTCTTTCTAATTATTCTCTTTTCTCTCAAAAGAAATTTACATAGTATTCAGGGATAGGGTGGAGGTTAAATATTATTATTAATATTAATAATATTAATATTATTATTAATAATAATAATAATGACATTATTATTAGCATTGTTGTACAAACATCCCTTTGTTTATTGACTTTTATATTTTTTATCTATGGGTCATTTGTGGTTGCTGTTTTATTGTTTCCAGTCTGCACCATTTTTTCTTATCATTAAAAGAAAAAAGAAACAAAAGAATAAAAATAGATGCATTGTGGAATAAAATGCTGAAAAAGGCTTTATTCCTAAAATTAGAACTGTCAGGATTGAACAATAAGAATTGGAATGTATGGAGCAGCTCCCAAACCTATAACCTTTATCTTTTATAGCAATTTTGAACAATCCCCTCTCCGCATTTGAGTTATTGTATGTAGGGCAGCTGCCAGCACCGTTGTCCTCTGGGCCCAATCAAGGAGAGACAGTATGAGTAATGGGGGGAGAAAGAGAGGTCAGCATGTCTATGTTTCCCTATCAATCACCACACCTTCTCTTTCAAAAAGCTCAGGGTCCTGCATTTTAAAAACCTTAGCAGGTAGGCGTTAGCCTAGCTCCCTATTTGGCTGAGAAATACCCTGAAGCCTAAATGACCAGTAGCTGCAAGCTCCTTCAAAAAATACTCAACCTCTCTCCAGACACATACAAATCTTGCAGAATTTAAAGCAATGTTCTCAATGCTTGTGACATTCAGGTACATTGGAATTCAGCTCTCATAATGTTCTAGCTAGGAATGAGAGTTATCTGTTTGTTTGTTTCCATGTTTCCTCCAACCCCTCAAAACAAGCTTGCTGTGGGATAAGCAAGGCTGAGAGTGACCTGGCCTGAAGTCACCCATTTATTTTTGTTGACCAAGCCTGCATTTATACCTGGTTCACCCTATTAACAACCCCTTAGCTACTGAAATCTAGAACAGGTGGAAGGCCTCTAGTAAACATAGACTGCCTTAGACAGCCTGACTAATGAATTTTTATGGCATAAATGTTCATGGACTCTGGAGCCCTTTTCATCACAGTAATGCTAGTAGTCTTTTGAAATGCTACTGCAGTATTAGCTGCCATGGGTTAATAAATCCCCCTTTCCAAACATAGTTCCTGTATCATGCGTAGAGAATGCTAATTAGATAGCTTCTCATAATGTATTATATAAACCATGTTTGATAGATCACAATAGATCGATATGCCTAGCAGACCAAATCAAACAAATCTCATTACGGTATGTGTGAAACCTGCCCCTCTTTTACATTGGGTTGTGCAAGTAGGAAGAGTGAGAAGATCCCCATTTATTATCTTTCCTGTATACTTGATGGCCACATGTTCATTAGCTGGCATACAAACTGGCCATGAATCACTAATGCACCAAACCTATGACAGCCAAGGTCATCAGGTACATTGACATTGAAGATTGGGCCATGGTCTGTATGCTCAATCTCTTGCCCACTCCCATTAGGGAGAGCATTTATTTAACAATTCAAGTTCCATGGCTAATAAGCGGCTGAGGTAACTGGTAATATGGGCTGGGGGTCCTGAGAATCAGTGATGCATTTAGATAATTTATCTTTCTGGTATTCATGACTGCTATTTCTTGGTGAAATATCTTCCTTCTTTGTGTGAGACAATGAATTTGAGCTGATACGTTGCCAGTCATGTTGCTGGTTCTTTTAGAGCATATCTGAAACTGAGCCTAGCAACAGATGTTACATCTTTATATATGGGTAATGTTAAAGGAGAGAGTATCCACAGCAAATTGGTATCTTATCTCTGATAACCTTCCCTCCTATTGGAATTATTTGCATTTTATAAATGTCTATTGCTTTACTAGTAAGTCTGAAGTAATGTCTTGATACTGACATTCGCCAGGCTTATTTTATGATGTGGTCCTTGTGACTGGTCATCAGCCAAGGCTGATGTCTTCTGGTTTTAAGTTATCCAAAGTCCTTCCTTCTTTGGAATGCATCAACATGTATTTGTTGCCTCCAGTGATATTAGTTGGACATTATTTCACCAGGGATTTACTACATTTTACTTCCAGTTGTAATAAGCCAGCACTGATGCACCTGGCATCCCACTTCCTCATGCTCACATTCTCACATTCTGTCCCCAAAGCTCCACCACTTATGTGCTTCCTCTCCACCCTTGCCTGCCTGTTCCACCATTCAAGAACAACATCTGGGATGTTAGGCTGAAAGACCATCACAGACCTAAGCATACTGAGAGTCCCTTTTTAGCCAATTAAATCCGGATCTGCACTTAAACTTTGGTCTGCCTCTGATCAGCTAAGCTAAGGTAACTCCCAGGTAATTATTTTTGGGGGAGACATAATGCAATAGTGTTCGGCCTTGACTCAGTGCCACTATATTTCTCCCTTGCATTTGGTGGTGCTCAGTTGAGATCTGCCTTTGCCTAAATTGATAGATAGACATAGGTTGGTATTCAATCCCGGTTCACCCAAAGCTAGGTAAAGACATACCAAGCCTGCTTTGCAATTTCCATGCATTTTGCACATGCTACTTTAGCCTCTGGCAATATGAATCAGTTTCAACTGATATAAAGTACCATATTTTTCGGAGTATAAGATGCTCCGAAGTATAAGACTCACCTAGCTTTTGGGTAGGAAAATAAGAAAAAAAAATCTACCTCAGCCTCTGCCTCCCAGCAATTTGCCTTCTTGCAGCAAACAGCAAAGAGCCTGTTTCAGTTTCAGTTTCAGCACAGCCTGATTCGCCAAGAAAAAAAAATCTGCCTCTGCCTCCCAGCAATTTGCTTCCTTGCAGCAAACAGCAAATAGTCTATTTCAGTTTCAGCACAGCTTGATTAGCACAAGCAGCTGATTGTTACTTGGATCGGCTTCCCAATCAGCTGTTTCAGGCAGAAGGAATTGCCATTGCCTATTGCCGCCTCCGTGCGCTTCATTTTCAGCTTTTGTGCAACCCATTTTCGCCCATTCTGGTTAGAGGCCGATCCAACCAACAATCAGCTGCTTGTGCTAATCAGGCAGTGCTGAAACTGAAACAGTCTGTTGGCTGTTGGCTGCAAGGAAGCAAATTGCTGGGAGGCAGAGGCCAAAGGGTGGGAGCCGGTGGGTGGACAGGGCTACATCCTCTTGTTCCTCCAGTTACTCCCTGATATTATTTTTGTGCCTACTTCAACCATCAAAACTCCAGTATTTCCCAGAGTAGACAGGGTTAGAGGATATGGAGGGTGGGTTTGATTTTGGTGTTTTTTTCCCCTAGGTGAGCTGTCCCCTAGATGAGTGATCCAATATATCAGGGGTTGCCGAGTGATCCAATATATCGGAGCCAAGGTGGCGCAGTGGTTAAATGCAGCACTGCAGGCTACTTCAGCTGACTGCTAGATCAGCAGCTCAGCGGTTCAAATCTCACCGGCTCAGGGTTGACTCAGCCTTCCATCCTTCCGAGGTGGGTAAAATGAGGACCCGGATTGTTTTGTTGGGGGCAATATGCTGACTCTGTAAACCGCTTAGAGAGGGCTGAAAGCCCTATGAAGCGGTATATAAGCCTAACTGCTATTGCTATTGCTATTACTATTGCCACAAAGAAGAGAGAGTCAAACTGTTTTCCAAGGCACCTAAGGGTAAAACAAGAAGCAGTAGCTAGAAACTAATCAAGGAGAGAAGCAACTTAGAACTGAGGAGAAATTTCCTGACAGTCAGAACAATTAATCAGTGGAACAGCTTGCCTCCAGAAGTTGTGAATGCCCCAACTCTGGAAGTCTTTAAGGGATTGGACGGCCTAGAAATTTAACAAACAAACAAATAAATAAATAAATGTTGGATAGCCATTTTTCTGAAACGGTATAGGGTTTCCTGCCTGGGCAGGGGGTTGGACTAGAAGACCTCCAAGGTCCCTTCCAACTCTGCTATTGTATTATATTGTTTCAGCTTTAGCATCAGTGGCTAAAATAATGCAGAAGATAGCACAATCTAAGTGGCACCCAGACATTTTTGAGCCCCTCAAATAAAGGATGCACTTACGCAACATTTAAAAAAAAAATAAGGTTGGCATGTTTGATCATATAATTCAACATAGCCTCCTCTGCCTGACAGTGACTCACTTGGTCATTGAAGAGAGCAGAGACTGAATCTAAATTCTTTGGCATGTAATGTAAGGACACCCCAAAGTTCAGCCAGCAATAAGAATCAGCAGGGGACCTTACTGCTAGGACAGCCTGCATTGCTGATTTCACCATGGCCCAAAGTCATATATAATGACATTTTTAACATGCAATACAATGTCTACAATGTCTACTTGCTGTTTAGGCATCATGTCAGGAGATTATGATGAGGATAGGCATCGCAAGGCAATGGAGCTCCTTCATGTGCTGTGTTCCAACACATGTGCTGCCCAGGAACGTGAAAAGTGTCAGGAACTGACAGGGCATGTGGGTCCCATCAACACAGGTGAGAATCTTGATCTATAATATCCATAGAAGAAATTGGAGTAGAATGATGAAAAATTATGGTCTAATTCATGGATCTTGTTGGTATGTTGCTGGACTGAAGTGGCATAAAAGTCTCTCTTATAAATTATTATTTTATATGAACAAATAACTAAAATATGTCTGTATGTTGTTGTATAGTTCCACGTGACAGAAAGACATTCTAATGAGTGTCGTAGGATCATTTGAAATCTTGAAATACTTTTGTATTTTAGAAAAATCAGGCTTCTAGTCCTTATCACATTTGCCAGGATGAAAATCCTGAATGCTCTCTGGAGTTTTCTTGGGTAATGCTTTGAATCAAGCAGTTTAAATATTGTGCAGTGGAAAGTACATTCAAATGGAATAACCATTACATAATTTGATTACATATATATATTTATTGCAATTGTTATGGTATTTATTGAGAAGTCTATGTATGTCTGTGCCATTGGGTTTTAAATGGTCTTTAAATAGGATTTAATGGGAAATGGTTTTTCTATTCTTTGCTGCATCTGTGAAAATTTATTAAAGACTATCAGAGATTTTTCTTATTTACCAACAACACTAGGAAACTTGAGTATAAATAATGAAAATATATATAATAGCAAGATAAGAATGAATGAATGTTGTGCATTTATTGAATGTAGATGGCACTCTTTTGGCGTGAAACTACAATACGACTATGCTTATATTTAGTACTGATCCCAAGGGACTGTGGTGAATTTATGGTGGGGGGATTTATTTCCCTTCAGTATAATATTTTTTTTATAATTCCACACCTAATCAAGATTGTCCATTTAAATATTTATGGAACCAAAAAACGAATGCCTGTGGATGCCTCTTCCAGTGCTTGGCAGACCATAATATAGTGAGGTTGGGGCTACCTCTTCTAATGTGGGGCAGGGCTGAATTGGCAGTTATGGACAGTTTGATCGTACTATTTAAAGAAGAGCAGAGCTGTCGTGTGTTCTGCCCTTTGGCAGTTGGTGCTACTAGCCCAGGATTCTATGTTCTCTCTCAACAGCCAGTAAATGAGGACAGTTCAACTAGCCAAGATGACAGACGGCCATAAAAAACAACTTATCCCTGAGTTTTCATTATGGTATTTGCCTCTCCACTTTTCTCCTCTAGAGATCCTGGTTAGTCTTCTGTCAGTGATTGTGACTTTCTGTGGGATTGTGCTGCTGGGCGTCTCCCTTTTCGTCTCTTGGAAACTATGTTGGATCCCCTGGCGGGACAAAGGATCCTCATCACAAACCCAACGCAAGGAGCATCCCCTCCATGCTCATCTCCACCACTCGCCTTTTGGGGATCTCCTGGCTGAGCGGGTGGAACTGGGTCCTGAAATGCCTGAGAGATCATACCTCGATATGGATTCCTATCCCGAGGCCAACCTCAAGGTTAGCCAAACCTCCCCTGACCTCCCCGTGGAAAGTCAGACCGGTACCAAGGAAGGCAGCATTCCCAATGCTCACTCCCACCAGCAAGTAGCAAGCTTGGCACCCACTCCCAGGTGAGTTGTGAGGAGGGAAGGATGCAGAGGGAGAGCCGAAGTATTAAAGCTGAGACTATACAATTGATGTTTATACGGAGGACATACGTTCAATACTACCTGTCTAACATTAATAATTGGTGTCTAAGAGTATTCTTGTTTTTCTTTCCTTGCCCCGTTTTTTTTCTTTTATGTCACATTTCTTTTTATGTCACATTATAAGAATGAGTGCACAAACTACCTGATCAGTAAGGTAAGAGCCTTTCAATCAATATCTCTTAGCCCAGATTCCCATTCCATAAATCAAAGCATTAAGAATAACTCCCAGAGATGCAGAAGACAATGAAAATAGTGCAAGTTGCCAGATGATAGCCTAGCTCTTCTGACTGCAACACCGACATCATGAGACCCACACATAAATACATAATTGATTCATTATGCCAGTCTTTCTCAACCTGTGCAATTTCAAGGTACCTGGATTCCAACTCCCCCAACCACCTGGCTGGGGATTTTGGGGAGTTGAACTCCATGGATCTTAGAGTTGCCAAGGTGGTGAAAAACACTGTATTATATACTATTCTGAAACACAGTGCTGCTTGAAAAGTTTTGGGTTGATCCTAACAGATGCAGTCCTTTAAAAAATAAGTTTTGGCTTCAGAATATAATCATAGACATGCTTCATGGATAAGTAGGCTGTTCATTTGTTCATTGCATTCAGCTTCCAAGATACTTAGAGTTAGAGGTTTTTAGTGGGTCTTTGGAAAAGGAGAAAGCACTGTAGCATAGGAGGCACACAGCTGTAATATAACAATGTTGCTGGTTCATAAACAAAGGAAGAAGAACTGATTATCTGCCAACTCAATAATCAGTTCTCCTCAACTGAACCTCCATCATATCACAGTTCATGGAGCTTTCTCCACATGTCTCCTGTTTCTTTTTCCATATTCAAAGAAGTGAAAAGTTAGTACTAATTAAAGATCTCACACTGAAACAGTTACAGGCACATTGAAGCAAATTATTAAATCAAGTGAATCTCCAATTTTGTTTCTAAAGAATAAAAGTGCACCTGCTATCTTTTGGGAAGGCTTGTTACGGCAGGTGCCATCAAGCTTTTGTATGCTTTTTTCAAGATTTCATCTGTAAAATCTGTAAATCTGTTGCATCTTTTTATACACCTTATATATACAATAGATCCAGATTTAGTTATATTAAGAAAGTACCATCTGAATGCTGCGGCATTTAATGTAAGTTATGGATAATGTAAATCTCAGTGATTTTAATGAGTTAACTAACTCTGATTCAAATTTTAAATTAATTTAAGTTAATAGACCAAGAGATATTTGTTACCCTTCTGAAAATTTAAAGCCAGGGTGTTGAAAGATGTAATTCTATCCTGGACAGAGGGGTATTGATTTGTAGGGTGAATTTAATGGACATGTGGTTATGTGTGGCTGTATTTTTTTTTGTTACTGTTCCATCCAGGTACAACACACTGCCACGTCCTGTGACCCAGCAATTGAGCAGCCCAGACACTGGAGTCCATGTTGGAGGAGAAGACAAGGTGGAACAAGTGACGAGCATTGGGCAGATAAAACCTGAACTGTATAAACAGCGCTCAGGTGAGGCAGACTCCAAGAAAGGGGAGGCTCCAAGCTGTGGACAATTAAGCTTTGCCCTCCGCTATGCCTATAGCACGGAGCAGCTGGTGGTCAGGATACTCCGAGCTTTGGACTTACCTGCCAAAGATGCAAATGGTTTCTCTGACCCCTATGTGAAAATGTACCTTCTGCCTGACCGTAAAAAGAAATTTCAGACAAAGGTGCATCGCAAAACCCTCAATCCTATTTTCAATGAGACCTTTAACTTCAATGTCCCCTTTGCTGAACTGCCCTCACGTAAGCTTCATTTTAGTGTCTATGATTTTGACCGTTTCTCCCGTCATGATCTGATTGGCCAAGTCGTCCTGGACAACCTGCTGGAGATTGCTGAGCGGGACAATGATGCTCCCCTCTGGCGGGACATCATGGAAGCCAGTTCGGTAAGTGGAGCTGTTAGTCCTTGACTTACAACCATTCATTTGGCCACCAATTGAAGTTACAATGGCACTGAAAACAGTGACTTAACAACCATTCCTTATAATTGTCACAATATCCACATGATTGTGTGATCCAAATTCAAGTCTCCATGTGATTATGTTGGTTGCAGTGTCCTGGGTTCATGTGATTGCGACTTTCTCAGTTGTCTTCTAACACAAAAAGTCAATTGGGGGAAAGCTAGATTTGCTTAACAACTGCATGATTCACTTAACAACTGGGGTGATTGCTTAACAACCATAGCAACAAAGATCATAAAAATCAGATGTAACTCTCTTATTTAGCAACAGAAAGCCTGCTTGATTTCGTGAGAAGTGACGTCCCCTTGAATGATGCATTCCAGGCTTTTGAGTTAAAAAGGTAAACTCTAACCAATAATGCAAATCGCTCAAGGGATTAAATTCATTGTAATTGAATTAGTCACAAAATTCAGCAGTCTCATTTGGTTAATCAAGCTCTTCAATACTTGAATGCGGCATTTTAGCTTGGTGCACTTCATCAATTCAGTCAATCAATGCAGCTGCATTGCTCAGCTATTGTATATTCATGAATCAATAACAATAGTTGCCTCAAAAGGAGGGGGGAAGGTTTTTTATAAACATTTCCACACTATGAAAGTCAATTTTGTTCTTTGACTGAGGAGAGGCCAGATAGATGCACAAGAGAACACAGTAGCACAGCTGTGCTCCATTCGTCAATATCCCTCCTGAGCACCATTCAGGTTGTGGTGGTCCCATTGGAGTGAAAACGAAATGACGAAGGGGGCACTGCATTCATTTGCTTCATTTCCTCCCAGTGGAGGTTACAATTTTGGTTACAATTCAGTGTTACCACGCTTAAGAAGATACAATTATTTTTTAATTATAATAAAAAAATTAAATGCCACTGAAGCAGCAGCTGATTGGGGCATGAAGACGATTTCAATCCCTGCTAGCTTTTAGGATGACAAGCAGGCAGGGGTGAAGTCTTCTCTGCTTATTTAAAAAAGCAATTGCTGATTAAGTTCACAGAAAATGGCAATCCCCACAAGAGGAGACATTCCATTTTTTAGCACAACTACTGCTAAATTGAAATTATATTTTTCACCATTCTCAGATTCATTATTGGGTTAAAGTGATTACTAAGCCAAGTCTCCAATTTAAAAAGTCTTAATTTTTCCTATCACCCAATTTACAACTTATATTTATTTATTTAGCTTCTAATTCTTACCTAACTCAAAAATATGAAGCAAATATTCTGGCACTGTTCTGACCAGCTAAAGTGTTTAATCAACAAGAGCACAATTCTAATCGGCAGATTGTAAGGAGTATGTAATTTACTTAAACCTCTGTGTTGACCTAGCCACATCTACTCAGCCACGCTCCCCTGGCAGAACTCAGATAGCCATGCCTACCCAGACACGCCCACCTGCCTGCAGTGAGTCGTCCCATTCCGCACAGAAGAGATTTCCCATTAGTTAAACACGAAGTTCGGTTTGTACTCCTGAAATTGTCTGTGGTTAATGCCCATGGAAACATTACTATTTTACTCCTGAGAAAGCACAGAGGATATTTTGAGGCTAAGAAATGTAGTAGAAAGGATTCTGAATTATTGTTTCATATATAAGCACTTAGCTGCGTGTATATTCATAAATATTGAGTTTTGAACAAGATTAGCAGAGCAATATAACCTGCTGGACAAGACTTACAATGTGCTCTCACTGTGAAACACAAATTCTGTAGAAATTTGGTATAACTGCAGTCTTATCATTGTTGCTAGGCACATAAAAGTAGCATTAATGATCATTCGTAGGATGTGCAAGAATAGTTTCTTCTTTAATACATTCCTAATTAAGGTGAGCTTTCACAGCTCATGACCTTCCCTCTTGGCCTGTTCACTGCCAGCTCTGTAGAAAATACAAGATTCAGAAAGCTTCTCCACCCAATTCCTTTGCTTTTTGCTTGCAAAAAAAAATGGTGGAAATGCACTCACGTATCTCGTCTGTGCTCTGGCCTCTGTCCTGCTTCCAAAATATAAGTGCAGGGAGGTTGTAAAATGTTTTGGATACTTAAAAATGTGCACAGTGTCTGAAGAATGGATGATATAAAAGGATTTGTGTGGGCAGAGGTGAAAAATGGGAAATGTCATGAACAAGGGAGGAGTTCCCTGGAGAGAATTGGTAAAACCAAAAGAGAATATGGGAGTGGGTGGTTTCAGTAGGTTTCTTACAGACATTCCACCTATTGGGTTCTCCCTCCTCCCATTCTTCCCTCTCCCCATTCCTTCTCCTTCATCTCTCTCAAAGAGCAACTCGTCTTTAATTTTCTTCTTCTCCCTCTCTGTGCGTATTTTTAGCTAGGCTCTTATTCATCAAACTGGTGGCTAATTAGGGCAGTCAGGTGTGCAGCAGCCATTTCTCCTGATCCTATCATCAAATGCCCTTTCCTCACAACTTCAGATTTCTCCTTCTTTCCTATCCTGCCCAACAATTGTCATGATAGTCAGTCAGTTTTCTTAGCTGCCTTCTATCTTTCTGCCTTTCTCCAAAAGCCTGAAATATCTTCCTCGTTGAATGTCATTCTTACTGATTGTATGATTTCCCTCCCCCCCCAGCTTTAGCAAATCAGTTGGTTACATGGTAGGGGAGAAAGCACTGGAATAAAGAAAGGGAGTAAAACCAAATAAACATTCCTGGTAGGATTAGAGAACAGATACCTTAGACAACTGAAGGAGGAGAGCAATCTTCACCAGCTTCTGGATGAAGACCAGAGCATGGTTGATAGACTTGTTCAATAGGCTGAGAATGCAAATTGTGGCCCAATGTATCTGGATGGGTTCCAGACTGAGGAAGGCTGTCTTCACATCCAATCTTATTGAAGATTCCTAGGATTCTCATTTGGAAAATTGAATTATGTTGCACCAAGGGTATCTGTTCAAAATACACCATTATTTGTTCTTTCATATAATTTCCAGTGTTGCTTGTTTCCCCTCCTGCAAATCAGAACATCCAATATGTTTAGTGACATGTGTGGCATAAACTATTTCTTAGGGATTCTTTCCGACCTACCCAACCCTTTAAAGTGTTTCCTCCCTGTGCCCACCAGATGCTCCTCTTGTGTGTGAATGATGGTATTTTAGCTACATATGCAACTGTACTTCCGAATATTGCAGTTAGGGAATATGGCACTGTATTTGAGTTTTCCGGGAATTGGGTGTTTTTAGAAGCTGGATATGAACTGATATATAATAGGCTCCCCCACCCCACCCCACAATGTTTGCATCTCTAATGCCATAAGTGCAGAGCTTGAGGCTATAGGGCCATATGCTATCCAGAGATTTGATTGACTAGATTATAGTTTAAAGAAAAGAAGGACTAGGAGAGATATGATAGCAGTGTTCCAATATCTCAGGGGTTGCCACAAAGAAGATAGAGTCAAACTATTCTCCAAGGCACCTGAGGGTAGAACAAGAAGCAATGGGTGGAAACTAATCAAGGAGAGAAGCAACTTAGAACTGAGGAGAAATTTCATGACAGTTAAAACAATTAATCAGTGGAACAGCTTGACTCCAGAAGTTGTAAGTGCTCCAACACTGGAAGTTTTTAAGAAGAGGTTGGATAACCATTTGTCTGATATGGTGTAGGGTTTTCTGCCTAGGCAGAGGGTTGAACTAGAAGACCTCCAAGGTCCCTTCCAACTCTATTCTGTACTGGAGCTACATCAAAATTTTGAAATCAATGAGATTTGACTGAGAAATTATTTCAGTTTATTCAATATCACTAAATCTGCTTTTGTGAAAGCAGGGGTAAAAGTTGTGAAAGTTAGGCAGGGGTAATAGCAGAAAGAAGCAGTGAAAGCATTTATAAACTATGCTTTAGGGATTTCCTCCCCTCTCCTCAAGATATTGTTACTAATGAACATCCAGTGCAGACAATGTTGGACATATCACAGTTTATTCAGCTTCTCAACAACTTTGTCACTTATAATAAATAAGAACCTTCTCCTCCTCACATCCCCAAGGATTTTTAAGCAGTGAATGTTGCGGCATAACAGTATTATGGTATCTATAGCTCCCCTAAGTGGGTTTGGATGAAAGAGCCATAGTTCACTGACAGAGCACTTGCTTTGCATACAAAAAAAATTATTGATCTTTGTCAATTCCTAGTTAGACTGGGAAAGATGAAGCTCTCCCTGAAGCCTCAGGAGAGCTGTTGCTTGTCAGTGTAAAGGAAAGATGTAAAATCTGTTCTTTCCCTTTTGATTATTGTTCACCCCAATCAGCAAGCTAATATAGTCAGAAGACTGTAGTATTTATAGAGCTGCCATCCTTGTTGTAAGTATGGTATTATGGAGATAATTCTTCCAATGATGGAAGATTGACTTGTTTCAAGCACCTTTCTATATTTCCGTTTTTAAAAAGTATGTTGCAACTTGCCAATTTTGTGAAATTAGTGAGCAAAACCTGAGTCACTTTGAACAGCTTTTGGTGAATCTTCTTTGCTCTTCTGGGCAAATGTGTTTCCTAGAATGAATTATGGCTGATCTGATGCAATGCATCTGTGCTTCTTAGGAGCGCCTAGACTGCCTGTCAGGAATGGAATAGTGAAAGAAACAAACTATATTTATCAATTTCCTGGCTCTCCACCCACCTGATGCCCTTCATGTGTTAGCCTGCAATTCCTTTACTTGATAATTGTATCACATAACCGCCCCCTCTTGGCAATCCTCTGCTGGTTAGCATTTCCATGAACATATATAAATGTATATTTTATGGAAGTCATCCATCTCCTCCTAGGCTTGCTCAGGTTTGTTATCTTTGGTTTCAAGAAGGTACAGAATATGGTTCCTGAATCCCCATTTTATCTTCATAACTATTCAGTGGCCTAAACTGAGAGATAGCAACAAGTACTGAAACACTATGCGATATTAGTTCATATTCACTTGGGCAGTGAATTCACAGGCTCACA